TTATTTGGGGCCCCGGAGAATTGAAATAATTGAAATAATTGAAATCGGCCCCATTTCAATTATTTCAATTATTTCAATTATTGAAACGGGGGGTTTGGCTGGAGCCAACTGAAGATAGAAGGGATAAAACATCAATTCAATTATTTCAATTATTTCGGCCCCCTCCCGAATTGAAATAATTGAAATACGCTTTTATGTTTTTAGTTATTTTAATTATTTCAAATTTCAATTATATTCAACAAGGATAATTAAAAGGCGGCGTCAAATAGACCCCAAAGGAGCCTCTCTCTCTCTCATATATATATATATAAATGTGTATATAGATTTAGAGATTTATATGTAGAGTTCACGTGTACATATAGTATAGAATAGTATAGTATAGTAAAGTGTAATATTATATAGCATAACATAATCCAACACAGTATGTGAAAATAAAATATTTCGGCTATATGATGTATATAATAATATAATATATCAGTATATAAGATAAAATACATCGTATATCGTGTATAATGTACAATATAAACATACAAGCTGTTATGTGTAACACATGGTATTTGATACACAGTAGACAGAAAGCAAGACACCACGGGCTATATATATATATATATATATTAAATAGGAAATATACTATTTAATATAGGTAACTTACGATATACGATAAACTACGTAGCATATGGTGCAGATTATCCAGTCCATGCTGTGCAAGTTAGCACAATGCAGAATATGGAATATAGAACAGCTATTACAGTCTATACATCATGCAATATATTTTTTGTATTACATTATGTGCATATGTGTATATGTGAACATATGTCAATACGCACATATATATATATATACACTGAGATCGATATACACATGTATGCCTTATTTTGTAAGATATGTACATGTGTATGTATGTGTGTATGTGTATGTGTATGTGTATGTGTATGTGTATGTGTATCTGTATCTGTATCTGTATCTGTATCTGTATCTGTATCTGTATCTGTATCTGTATCTGTATCTGTATCTGTATCTGTATCTGTATCTGTATCTGTATGTATGTATGTATGCACGGATGTAGGCATGCATGCGCGAATGGGTGGATGTATGTATGTATATGTGTGCGCGGGTGTGTGTGTGTGTGTTGTCTGTATGTCTGCATGTCCATAATTTGTATGTATATAACGATATGTATGTCTGTATGCATCCTGGAAGGTTTGTATTCATTTTTGTATGTGCAGAGGTATGGCCGGTAGGGGAAATGTAGGAACGCACGAAGACGACGAAGCACAGCGTCTGATTCAGCCGCGGTGGCCCGAATGGTGTTAACCACAATTGGCGGGTTAGGATACACAACTTCTTCGCTGGGCAGAGCAACAATGTAGCTACCAGCTTACGAAGCAGCACCCGTTGCTGGCCAAACCAACAAGATTCTCGCCACGATACCCAGCTTGCAAAACCCTAGATTTGGATAGTCCCTGTTGATTCCTGGCACCTGTTGAGTTAGCTTGTGCTTCCTGGCCAAGTCCGCGGCGGCTTTGCAAGGCAGCATTCGGTGCAACACAGACGTGATTGGCAGAAATTACTGTGAAAGCCGTCCAAGCGTTCTTCATCCAGGACAGGCATGTCTGATGAAAACGTATCTTCTTGTTATAATGTCAGTGCAAAGAGCAAAACCTCCGAACATGCCGTTTACACAGCAGGCGCATAGAATGCCGCGCTGGAACAGTCGGTCGCCCCCAGGAGGGCTTCGGAGGGTACCGAGGTCTTGCCGTGGTTGGGCAGGAACCTGTCAATGTCTCCGAGTGGTCCAGGGTTCGAAGTTCTTGGGATGGTGACGAAGGTGAGCCTTGATGCCTCTAGCTAAAGGATGCTAAAGGATGGGTGCAAAAATGATGTTGTTTTGCTGGCTGATGATGATTGTACCTGGCACAAGGCGGATCAGGTTCTGGTTGCATTACTGGACAAGCATGTTCTGGGATCCTGTTGGGGCATCGGCTGGGCCCAGCCCTGTGGCCCAAAGGGTCGTCCCCAAAGCATCCAAGGCCCCGGGGAAAATCTGGGCTCAAGAGGAATGAAGCCCAAAAACTTATGGCGGCCATAGTCCTGTACTGCAGCTTGACCTGCATGAAGTATCACGCCTCTAACTTTAATTTTACCCGAAAGTTACCCTCGGCCTCCGACACCAAAGCTCGCCAGTTCGGCAAGAACGCTCGAAACCGCGGGCTCCACTGCGGCTAACAGCCCGGGCGCCGTCGCCACGGCGGAGCAGCCCCCGCGGAGGCTGGAAGGGGAGAGGAGTGGCACCTTTCATGACCCTCGGCTCAGGCGCTGCCCGCCTCCTGGCAAGGAGTGACCGCAGGCTGTTCCTCCTGCAGCGTCGTTTACAGTCATTCCCGAATCCGCCCCGATTCTTCTCTGGAGGCCCTGAAGTTTGCTTAATTGTCGCCCATGTGGTTTGGATCTCATGCTACCAGATATACCAGGAGAACAGCCGCCTGGATGTCTTGTTGCTAGTACTCCTCCGGCAGCATTTGCCACGAGCAGTAGCTCTGCCTGCTCCTTCTGCTCCTGCGGGTCGTGCTGCAGCAGCAACAGCAACAGCTACTTCTACAACTGCTGATGCGAAGGTAGATGTTCATCATCATCGTTCTCTTCTCTTGGTTCTCACCACCACCACTACCAGCAGCATCAGCATCAGCATCAGCATCGTCATCATGAAATCGCGACGAGAACCGCTACGGCGGCTCTGAGTTTGCTCCTACGCACAGCATCGCAGGTCGCGGGATCGGCCTTCGCCTCGCCGAGGCGCCCGGTCGCGTGCAGCCGCATGCGCGGGACCGACGAACAGAGGGCAAAGCCCAGAAGGGACGCAGCACTGCAAGGCCCTGCAAGGCACTGCACGCATCTGCAAGGCACTGCACGCATGGACGCCATGCTTCCTAGATTGGCTTCCGGATGTCGGCCAGGCTCACCGTTTCGAAAGCCCAGTGCATCACCGCCGGCAGAGGCCGGTTCAGCAGTTTTCTTCGCAGTTGAGGGGGCCTCCTGCAGCCCTTGTTGGCATCCCTTTTTCTCCAGGGCAACTTTACTGGTAGGACGGCCACGGTTCATACTTTCCATGCCGGGGTTTGGGACACTAACTGTGGTAGGTGGAACAGGTGACATGACTCTGGAGCTAAGCTTTTCTGAGGTTTCAGCACGGCGCTTTGTGTCTACACCTGTCCTCTCGTGACCCGCTGCCAGAATGGCAAGCGCCTTCGAGACGGTCCGCCTGCCAGACGTTAGACTGCCGTCAAGGTTGAGGTGGTGAGTCGGTCGCACATCGGTGCCATTTGCCGAGTGTTCTAGTGATCCTGTTAGATTTCACTGCGCTTGAGTTAAGCCGATTCCAGCCCGTGACAGAGCAGACCTTCAGCACTTGGACGCAGGAGTTTTCGCATTGTTTTCCAATGCATTTTCGGCAGCGTGTCCGAACAGTTGAGTCAGCCTGCCGGACCAGCCGCAGGTGTCGACCGTTCTGCGAGAAAGGCAGCCTCGGTGTCTGTGCAGCCATGCCTATGATTGCAAAATGCAGTGAGGGACTCATACATGCATGTATGCACGCAGTGCATACATGTCCACATACATACAGACATATGTACGAACCCCAAAGCACGCGAAAGTACGCTGTACCAGAATAGCACACAAACACAACCCTAAAGTAGAGCGAGCACTGCTCATTCAGCTTCAGATCAAAGTAACCCTGAACGTCACAGAGCGCCTCTTTCCAGGGACTGCACAAAGTGCTCATGATCTCGAGCCACAGATGTGGCAAAGTCAGAGTATGGAGGTAACGTGTTATTTTCACATGCCTCCCTGAGGCTAAAGTACTGTACTTTCTGTTGCAGCATTTGTAGCAGTGTTGCATTTTGAACTGCCGCAGGGCAGCCCAGCGCATGCATCGCCGGACAGACTGAGGACTCTGTTCGAACGCTTGCTGTCACATGCATATGTTGTCTCAGTACTTGCAACAGTAAACTAGCTACTCACGGAGAGCCCAAGGATTCACATAGGTACAGTTTCGGTTTGTCGAACGCAACCCTTGCGCCGCTTGCCCGTTCGTGGAAGAGCTGATTTTGCAACAGGTGCAGAGGTTCGTGCTGGAAACCGTCACGTAAGCTTCGCAGATTGCAGATTTAGCAAGGAGTCGCCGCCGTTCTGGCGAGGTGCGGAGGAGGAGTCCGGCATGCCAGGGGACACGCAATGGATTTAGGACGTCTCCTGTTTCGGTGAAACCGGCAGGAGGAATAGGGGCTTCAGCTCCGAGCGCCTTGAGGTCCGAAAGATTGAAACTGCCTGAAAGCTTCGCGTTGAAATTCAAGTTTTTTTCACACACCGAAAGTGAACGAACTATCTAATCGACAGCCTTTCCGCACGGGTCATCTCCGGGCACCGGAGAGGTTTGCTCTGGATTGCGCGCTTCCCTGAACTGCCTGAGGAGCCCTAGTCCGCACCCCCACGCCACGGCCCCGAAGGCCAAAAGCATGCACTCGGGTTTGGATATTCAGGCCTTCACACCGTTGTTGCGACCCTGTCTTCATGCTCATGATTTTTGCCATGTTCCTGTTGGTCTTACAAGAGGAACCAGCGCGCCACGGTCAAGAGAGCACATGGAAACCGGGTTTGCAAGCGAGGGCTGCGGCTCTCTACAATACGAGGGTCTTCAGGTCACAGGAACACAATGATTCAGTATCGCAGCATAGCAGTCCTTTATGTATCCGATGTAGCCGAAACCCTCGAGCCTCCTGCGCTGGCATCACAGCCACAGGCGGCGCCAAAATCCCGGCGGAGGCGGCCCGAGGCCTGGCCTTGTCTCACCCGTTTGTAACAGTAGTAGCATCGGTATTGGTGTGGTGGTAGCGCGGCCAGTGTTGGAGTAGGAGTAGGGGCAGCAATTAGCAGTAGTAGCGGTGGTAGCAGCAGTAGCAGTCGTAGCAGTCGTAACAGTAGCAGGAGCAGGAGCAGGCGCAGGAGCAGGAGCAGAGGCAGAGACAGAGGCAGAGGCAGAGGCAGAGGCAGAGGCAGAAGCAGAAGCAGAAGCAGAAGCAGAAGCAAGTATTGGTGGTAGCAGTAGTAGTAGGAGTAGTAGTAGTAACTTAGTAGTAGTTATAGCAGCAGGAGTGGTAGTAGTGGGAGTGGTGGGAGAAGGGGAAGAAGTGGTAGTGGTAGTGGTAAGTGGTAGTGGTAGTGGTAGAGGTA